GGGTGGGTGGGGACAGTAATCAGGGATGGGTGGGTGGGTGGGGACAGTAATCAGGGATGGGTGGGTGCGGACAGTAATCAGGGTGGGTGGGGACAGTAATCATGGTGGGTGGAGACAGTAATCAGGGTGGGTGGGGACAGTAATCAGGGTGGGTGGGGACAGTAATCAGGGATGGGTGGGTGGGGACAGTAATCAGGGATGGGTGGGCGGGGACAATAATCAGGGTGGGTGGGGACAGTAATCAGGGATGGGTGGGTGGGGACAGTAATCAGGGATGGGTGGGCGGGGACAGTAATCAGGGTGGGTGGGGACAGTAATCAGGGATGGGTGGGTGGGGACAGTAATCAGGGATGGGTGGGTGGGGACAGTAATCAGGGATGGGTGGGTGGGGACAGTAATCATGGGTGGGTCGGGACAGTCGGCATTGGTGGGTGGGGACAGTAGATCCTGTCTAGCAGTGTGCCAGTGTTGCAAGATGACATAATCGATTGCTTATATTCCGGTTATGCTCGTGATGAAATTACTTTGTGCGTTATGAGACCTCCTTTGCCAGTAACAAGATATAGTGATAGGTTTTACCCTTTTAACTGGCACAAAAACTGACACCTTTATTCAAGGCATCATGTTTGCAATAACCACAACACAAGCAGTCAAAATGCAAACAAAAGAGACAACTGATAATGATGATGGCACTGTCCTTGAATTTGATTGGTCCACACCCGAGCTTTTCTTAGAGCCTAGTCTCCACTGGTGTTGGACCAAAAGACGCCAGTTAAAAGGGTAAAACCTATTACTATACTTTGTGCGTGTTATCGATTATTTCTTAATCATGTTCAGTTATATTTTTACAGCACAATTAGAGTCAATTGATACTCATATCACCGAAGGTTCTGTGAGATGTCACCAATGAAGGTTCTTATTGACACCCCTTACATATATTCTATCCATTTACACCTCTCGATTCTTTAGATTCTCACCTCTGTGGGTCGTGTGGATGTTATGGTAGATTCACATCCTGAATGTGTTCTAATCTCGAGAGATGTTTCGACATTCAGACCAAGGCCGTAGCCATGGAGTCAACATTGGGGGGGACCAAATCTTCCAGGGAGACTGGGGGTCCCAACCCAGAAAATAAATCAAAATTTGAAAAATAATTTCCTGCCTAAAATATTTAAAAAATCACTAACACATGGGATGTACTTTTATTTATAATAATGTCTAATAGTGTATTGTATTACATTGCTATGTTTTTACTTTTTTACCGTTTCTTGTTTCATTAATAAAGTACAACCATAACCACAATCATATAAACATAAATCTATGCATTGATTTATATGAAGACAAGTTCAGATATTGTGGCCAAGGTTTAGCAAAATGTTTATTTACTTATTTACATAGCATAGCAATTAATTTTTGTATACAAAAATAGTGGGGGGGGGGAGGGGGCATTTTTAGCATATTTGAATATTGGGGGGGGATGTAATGGATGTGTCCCCCCCCCAAATAAGTATACATATATAAACACCCAGGTCTGTCATTCTGTGACTGTCATTGTGTGATTAACGCGGCACGGATTGGTTGAAGTGCGTCACTTGACCGCGAGCAAGCAGCCAACCAGAGGTGCGCCCCTCACAAACATGTACGCCCCCCAGGTGGTGTTGTGGGCAGCTGATCTGCCACCACGCTCACGGGCCGACAGGGGTGGGGGCTGAAGGGGAGGGGGACCCCCCCCCCAAACCACTTCCTAAGACCCCTTAATATGGGATATTGCAAATAATCCTAACAGTTCTTTCAGTGATTAATAAATCATAGTTCTTAGAAGTGAATGTAAATATCACAAATAAAGTTTAAATACATTTTTATTCATTCACATTAAAGTTACATCGCGGGAAGTGAAAGCCGCGTAAAGCCGCTCTTATTCGACTTATTTAAAGTCCTCAAGTACAGCAAAGCCTGTACTTACTTGCTGGTCGAGCATCTGGTCATCTGTTCGAGCACCAATTGGGTCGAGGCTCAAAAGAAAGCCGTCCCTTGGTGTGGACCAATCAGTTTCAAGGACAATGCCAATATATTATCATAGTATGTTTTTTTATTTAAAGCTTTCGTGACTGCAGGAATTCATATCCTTAGTTTTTTCGGTAAAGTCACGTTGAAGGGAAACAACAAAATAATAAAATATATAAATTTATGCAAACCAACACACCTGAAGACGACCGTTTGAGTTATGGTCGAAACGTCGTGAGAATTTTTTATTGTTTTATATATATTTTATTATTTTGTTGTTTCCCTTCAACGTGACTTTACCGAAAAAACTAAGAATAAGTATGTTTTTTTGTTTGCATTTTGACTGCAGGTATTGTGGTTAATGCAGACGTGAATCCTTGTAAAAAAAAAGGTTTTAGTTTTGTTGCCAGAAAAAAAGGGGAAAAACCCTATTATTATACAGCAAAGCCGTTCGCGTTCATTTTACAGTACTCTACGATAATACTTTTCAATAATACTTTTGACGGTAAAACACACACTTGCACTACACACACATCTATTATGTATGGACATAAACACACGGTTCTAATTACATTAGTACTGTAGTTGTTTTGGTGCTTAAATCCACTGCTGGATGAAGGCCCACCGCACGCTGTGCGAGTGGATCGTAAGGATTTACTTGACCGGTCTGTTGGGGGGTGCCGCAGGCTGTGGTTGTTTGGGGGGGTGCCTTAGGCGCCCCCCCAAACAACCTAGTATATTTTGATTTAAAGCTTTCGTGACTGCAGGGATTCATATTCTTGGTTCTTTCGGTAAAGCCACGTAGAAGGGAAACAATAAAATTATAAAAAACATATTTTTATTATTTATTATTAAAATAATAATAAAAATATATTTTTATTATTATTTTAAATACTAAAATTATGTCTCTCACAGGAGGGAAGATGGTTACGGTGGACGGCCGTACACCATGCCCGCCCGGCCGCCTTTGTCTCCCCCTATTGGCGATGTTTACTGCACAGCGCCCACTACCAGGTTACTCTTTTGACGCCGAGCCAAACAACTTAAGAGGAACGCTTCAAAAAAACGTCACTGGTGTTGGCCGTGAGCGGAAAAAGTTACAAAAACAAGACAAAGATCCCCCGTATAGCCTTAAAAGACTTTTGGAGTAAGGGGCCGTTACGCGATTTTGGACGGCGTCACAAAAAGTCAGACCCCCCCCTCAAATATGACGTCACAAAGCTCTGCCCCCGCCCCCCCCCAAAAATAAAACATGCTTCAAATTGCTTTAAACTATTGTCATTATAGTGCGTATTTAATGTGGCGCTGCACTCTGATGTTGTAGGAGAAAACATTCATTAAAACGTCTATTTAATTAAGTACAGCGTGTTGTCTATAATTATTTAAAGTTGCGCATTTTGATGTGACGTCACATTTTTCAACCCCCCCCTCCCCCTCCCTTGTCACACATCGTCACAAATGTCTGACCCCCCACCCTAGGTGCGTGACGTCATTTATAGGTGGCCCCTAAGCAGCTCCAATAACTCGGTTTAGGACAATCGCCTTGGTGTTGATGGGAGCGGTGGTGCAACGGTTAGCGCGCTGCGCTACGCATTCAGCCTCAGCCACCAGAGTTCGATTCCCGCTCACGGCCGACACACCTCTTGGCCCACAATATCTGGACTTGTCTTCATATTAAATCAATGCTTAGATTTCCGTTCATATTTTTTGTGGTTATGGTTGTACTTTATTAATATTTAATCTCTGCCATTTACATACAATGAAACAAGAAACGGTGAAAAATAAAAAAAAACAGAGCAATGTAATACAGTACACTATTAGACATTATTGTAAACATTAATAAAAAAAGTCCATACCATGTGTTAGTGAATTTTTTTATATTTTAGGAAGGAAATGTGTTTTCAAATTTAGATTTTTTTCTGGGGGGGGGGGGGGGGGGAGGGGACCCCCATACACCCGGTAAGATTTGGTCCCCCCCAATGCTGACTCCATGGCTATGGCCTTGCCTGGTGGCGTCATGGTGCTGGCCCAACCCACCCCTTCGGGTGGCGTGCGTGGGCCTTCGTAGGTGCTACTCGCTAACAACACTTGCCCCCAACCAACAGGAGGCTTTGTTGGTGGTGGTGGCGGTGGTGGCCGCCGCGAGCAGGAATCGAACTCGGTCGGCTCCGCCGAGTTTTCGCAGCGCAGCGCGCTAACCGCTTGCACCACCCCCCACACCACACACCACCACCCCCCCACACACCACACCCCACACACCACACCACCACCCCACACCCCACCCCACACCCCACCCCACACCCCACCCCACACCCCACCCCACACCCCACCCCACACCCCACCCCACACCCCACCCCACACCACACCCCACACCACCACCCCACACCACACCCCACACCACCACCCTCCACCACCCCACACCATCCCCCACACCCCACACCACACCCCACACCACCACCCCACACCACCACCCCACACCACCCATACCACCACACACCCCACACTGTTTGTTCCCTTCCCATCCACATCACCACCACCACCACACCCCCTCGCCCTCCGGGAGTCGGGAAGAAGCTTCGACGACGACGACGAGGATGATGATGCTGGTGGTGCCGCTTCTAGCACTTGTGCCATTCTTCCAGCTGGTAGAGACGCAAGGTGTGAAGACGACCCCGACTCCTCATCCTCCTGCATCTCCCCAGACGCCCCCGTTGGCTGCGGCTTGGTGGCCCTCGCTGCTGCTGGGCACCGTCTGCCTGCTGGTGCCGTGCGCCTGCCTCCTGCTGCTGCTCGCCTGCGCCCTGGCCGGCCGCGCGCTCCTCGCGTGCCGCCGTCGCGGCGCTGCGGAGGCGGCGGCGGTGAGGCGGCGTCAGGGCAGCCAGAGGCGGCAGCAGCAGCAGGGGCAGCAGCAGCAGGGGCAGCAGGAACAGCAGGGGCAGCAGGAACAGCAGGGGCAGCAGGGGCAGCAGCAGGGACAGCAGGGGCAGCAGCAGGGACAGCAGGAGGAACAGCAGCAACAGGAACAGGAGCGTCAAGAAATTAACTCCCAGCAGGAGCAGCAGCAGCAGCAACAACAACGGGAACAACAAGGAGAGAGACACAAGAAGCAACTTCACCACGGCCATCGGACGATCCCGCAGAGGAATCTATACGCACGCCATGATGATGATGATCATCAGCAGCAGCAGCAACAACAGCCACGTCGCAAACACCTCCAGCAGCAGCATCGTCACGATCATCAGCTGCAACAACAGCAGCAGCAGACTCTTAACCAACGTCGTGAGCCGCAGGAGCTCCACCACAAACAACATCACCACCACCACCATCACCAAGACCATCAACAGCAACAACTCGACCATTATCAACGGCATAATCATCACGGACACCGTCCCCATCTGCTGCCTCTGCTGCCTCATCATCAACAACTCCATCACGATCTTCACCATCGGGTCGACGGGCCTGGGGGGGATGGAGTGCAGGGCGCATGGGAGGAGAGGAGACGACAAGAGGAGAGGCAGCGGCCGAGGTGAGAGCGATAGATCGAGCTGTCGACGAGAATAAAGGCTACTTGAGAATCGTCCGACGGTCAACACCGAGGATCTGAGAACGTCGTGCAGAAATCGTGGTCCCCCCACACCCCATGAATCAGAGAAATAGTGCAGAAATCATGGTCCCAATCCCATAGATCTGAGGAATAGTGCAGAAACATGGTCTCAATCCCATGGATCTGAGAAATAGTGCAGAAATCATGGTCTCAATCCCATGGAATCTGAGAAATAGTGCAGAAGTCATGGTCCCAACCCCATCGATCTGAGAAATAGTGCAGAAGTCATGGTCTCAACCCCATAGATCTGAGAAATAGTGCAGAAGTCATGGTCCTAACCCCATCGATCTGAGAAATAGTGCAGAAGTCATGGTCTCAATCCCATAGATCTGAGAAATAGTACAGACGTCATGGTCTCAATCCTATAGATCTTAGAAATAGTGCAGAAGTCATGGTCTCAATCCCATGGATCTTAGAAATAGTGCAGAAGTCATGGTCTCAATCCCATCGATCTGAGAAATAGTGCAGTCATGGTCCCAACCCTATAGATCTTAGAAATAGTGCAGAAATCATGGTCCCAACCCCATATATCTGAGAAATAGTGCAGACGTCATGGTCTCAATCCCATAGATCTGAGAAATTGTGCAGAATTCATGGTCCCAACCCCATAGATCTGAAAAATAGTGCAGAGTCATGGTCCCAACCCCATAGATCTGAGAAATAGTGCAGAAGTCATGGTCCCAATTCCTTAGATCTGAGAAATAGTGCAGACTTCATGGTCTCAATCCCATAGATCTGAGAAATTGTGCAGAATCATGGTCCCAATTCCTTAGATCTGAGAAATAGTGCAGTCGTCATGGTCTCAATCCTATGGATCTGAGAAATAGTGCAGAAATCATGGTCTCAACCCCATAGATCTTAGAAATAGTGCATAAATCATGGTCCCAACCCCATAGATCTGAGAAATAGTGCAGACGTCATGGTGTCAATCCCATGGATCTGAGAAATAGTGCAGAAGTCATGGTCCCAATTCCTTAGATCTGAGAAATAGTGCAGACGTCATGGTCTAAATCCTATGGATCTGAGAAATAGTGCAGAAATCATGGTCCCAACCCCATAGATCTGAGAAATAGTGCAGAAGTCATGGTCCCAACCCAATCGATCTGAGAAATAGTGCAGAAGTCATGGTCCCAACCCCATGCGTCTGAGAAATAGTGCAGAAGTCATGGTCCCAACCCAATCGATCTGAGAAATAGTGCAGAAGTCATGGTCCCAACCCCATGCGTCTGAGAAATAGTGCAGAAGTCATGGTCCCAACCCTATAGATCTGAGAAATAGTGCAGAAGTCATGGTCCCAACCCCATAGATCTGAGAAATAGTGCAGAAGTCATGGTCCCAACCCCATAGATCTGAGAAATAGTGCAGAAGTCATGGTCCCAACCCCATAGATCTGAGAAATAGTGCAGAAGTCATGGTCCTAACCCCATCGATCTGAGAAATAGTGCAGAAATCATGGTCCCAACCCCGTGGGTCTGAGAAATAGTGCAGAAGTCATGGTCCCAACCCCATAGATCTGAGAAATAGTGCAGAAGTCTTCGTTCAACACCATGGCTGCTGTAATCCAGCACTTTGAAGGCAGCGCGAGGGTTGGTGCATCACACAAATGTTTTGAAACTACCTTCCCTAATGGTCTTCGATGAGCCGTAACCCTGACTTGGCAGAAGGTGGTATGTACGGGATAGCTTGATATCGCCCCTGGCATGCGTGGGTATTCTCCGGATACCCTAGTTCCCCCACGTCCCCTCCAGGGTGGAGAGATGTTGACTACCTCGCCTGGTATGCAGGAAGTCTGTTTATTTGGAGATTGCATCTTCTCCCCGTGGCCGCGTAAATTTTTCTCCGATATTTCCCCTCCACATTTTTGAGGCATGCCTGCCGTTCGAGAGTATTTGGCTGGTCTGAATGCCCACATGATATGCCACTTCGTTGAGCTATCGTTTGCGATAGCCAGGTGGCTTCTGCAAAAACGATCCATATAGCTCGGTGAGCCTTACCTGGTCAAATAAAAAAAAAACATTTGAAAATAAATACAGAGGACCGCAGAGCTTGAGCTATGTTTGGCATGGGCTCACCGCGTGGCTGGCACCTTTCCCGTTTGTCAGTGTGTTCCGCCTTCCTGGTGCCCCTTGAGTCGTCCTCTTGTCTTTGAGGCTGAGGCAGAACACTGCAATAGTGGGAACATGTTATAGAAGTTCACGTCATTATGATTATTATGATCATCCCTGAACTCAACCCTGTCCGTGGCCCTTGTTCACGACAACCTGGGTTTCGTGCCTGGGAGACTTCACTGAGGACAAACGATATTTTGAATGATCGTTACGATGGGTGAGAGTCAAGAAGGAGGAGAAGGTGGATTCGGCAGACTGGGATTCCAGAGATGAGGTTAGAGGTGGTGGTGGGAGCAGGGGAGTAGGGAAGCGGTAGTGTAGTGGTTAGCGCGCTGCGCTAAAAATCCGGCCACCTGAGTTCGATTCCTGCTCACGGCCAACACCTAGTGACGATTATCTGAATTGTTCCTGGAACTCCCCAAGTTTGGCTCGGCCTCAAATTCGTATTTGTGTCCCAAACATTGCATGGTGCTGGCCACCCACTCGTGTGCCGTGTCGGCCGTCGCGAAGAGCACTTGCCCAAAAGTCTGTTCAGCATATGAATCGATTAGCCCGGGTCACCACAAAATATTGGTTGGCCGGGCATAGTTTAAGGTTTTTTTTTTTCTGGGAGCATCGCTGGGTACTACCATCCTGTCCTGCCGGAGGGCGACGCTGGGAGCGATGATGACGACGATGTCGATCCCGCCAGCACGACCGTGACCGCCGGCCGTACCAAGATGAGCGCCTGGTGCACCATTGCCTCCGAGTGGTCTCGCTCCCAAAGACAAGGAGGGTGGCCGCCCCCGTAAGAAGCAGAACGTGCTGGGGAAATGACCAGACCAGCATCCTCATGTACCTCCAAAACAAGCGATAACCGTTGCCACGCACTAATACCCCAGCAGCCCCCCTTGTTTATGGGTGTTTTGCGTTTGTTTTTTATTTCCATATTTGGCGTTGGGTATCGGGCTCGGTGACATGTCCCGTCTGGTTTCGGAGTTATGGAGGTTTTGTTACCCCCGGGTCACGATGGTGACCCGGGTCACCGCCAATCGATTCATATGTGGGGGATCTTTGTCTTTGATTGGAGTAGGATAGATCGGTTTCCGTGACATGGTGATGAAACACTAGCATATCTCGCCTGACGAGGGCTTGGCAACATGCAGCTCTGAAGCCGCAAAGTTGTGGCTCTTTGACTGGCCCCTTTGTGACTCTTTGGCTGCCTCCTTTGTGGCTCTTTGGCTGCCCCCTTCGTGGCTCTTTGACTGGCCCCTTTGTGACTCTTTGGCTGCCTCCTTTGTGGCTCTTTGGCTGCCCCCTTCGTGGCTCTTTGGCTGCCCCCTTTGTGGCTCTTTGACTGGCCCCTTTGTGGCTCTTTGGCTTCCCCCTTTGTGGCTCTTTGGCTGCCCCCTTTGTGGCTCCTTGGCTGCCCCCTTTGTGGCTCTTTGACTGGCCCCTTTGTGGCTCTTTGGCTTCCCCCTTTGTGGCTCTTTGGCTGCCCCCTTTGTGGCTCATTGGCTGCCCCCTTTGTGGCTCTTTGGCTGCCCCCTTCGTGGCTCTTTGGCTGCCCCCTTTGTGGCTCTTTGACTGGCCCCTTTGTGGCTCTTTGGCTTCCCCCTTTGTGGCTCTTTGGCTGCCCCCTTTGTGGCTCCTTGGCTGCCCCCTTTGTGGCTCATTGGCTGCCCCCTTTGTGGCTCTTTGGCTGCCCCCTTCGTGGCTCTTTGGCTGCCCCCTTTGTGACTCTTTGACTGCCCCCTTTGTGACTCTTTGGCTGCCCCCTTTGTGGCTCTTTGACTGGCCCCTTTGTGACTCTTTGACTGCCCCCTTTGTGACTCTTTGGCTTCCCCCTTCGTGGCTCTTTGGCTGCCCCCTTTGTGACTCTTTGGCTGCCCCCTTTGTGGCTCTTTGGCTGCCTCCTTTGTGACTCTTTGGCTGCCCCCTTCGTGGCTCTTTGGCTGCCCCTCTTTGTGACTCTTTGGCTGCCCCCTTTGTGGCTCTTTGGCTGCCCCCTTTGTGGCTCTTTGGCTGCCCCCTTTGTGGCTCTTTGGGTGCTCCCTTTGTGGCTCTTTGACTGGCCCCTTTGTGGCTCTTTGGCTGCCCCCTTTGTGGCTCTTTGGCTGCTCCCCTTGTGGCTCTTTGGCTGCCCCCTTTGTGACTCTTTGGCTGCCCCCTTTGTGGCTCTTTGGCTTCCCCCTTTGTGGCTCTTTGGCTGGCCCCTTTGTGGCTCTTTGGCTGCCCCCTTCGTGGCTCTTTGGCTTCCCCCTTTGTGGCTCTTTGGCTGCCCCCTTTGTGGCTCTTTGGCTGCCCCCTTTGTGGCTCTTTGGCTTCCCCCTTCGTGGCTCTTTGGCTGCCCCCTTTGTGGCTCTTTGGCTGCCCCCTTTCTGACTCTTTGGCTGCCTCCTTTGTGGCTCTTTGGCTGCCTCCTTTGTGGCTCATTGGCTGCCCCCTTTGTGGCTCTTTGGCTGCCCCCTTTGTGGCTCTTTGGCTGCCTCCTTTGTGACTCTTTGGCTGCCCCCTTTGTGGCTCTTTGGCTGCCCCCTTTCTGACTCTTTGGCTGCCTCCTTTGTGGCTCTTTGGCTGCCTCCTTTGTGGCTCTTTGGCTACCTCCTTTGTGGCTCTTTGGCTTCCCCCTTTGTGGCTCTTTGGCTGCCCCCTTCGTGGCTCTTTGGCTTCCCCCTTTGTGGCTCTTTGGCTGCCCCCTTCGTGGCTCTTTGGCTGCCCCCTTTGTGACTCTTTGGCTGCCCCCTTTGTGGGCAGCCGTTTAAAACAAAACATGCAAATCTTCAACGTAATTGAACGTAAAGATCATTGATTAAATATGGCAGCGGAATGGGTCACCATGGAATGTCTTGGTGACAACAACATGTAGAAACAGTCAAATTGCATTGTTAAAGAATAACTAAGCGAGGACAAAAACTAAATAGACGCAGTTTATTCGATGACATTGTTTTAAGTCAGAATGTGTGTAGTCATCTTCTCTATACGTGCTGCTATGCATGTGCACAAGTAGCTGTGTGTATGATGCGGCCTCTCGATTTATTTTGGCACACGCACACTCGCAGCACGAGGCCGACTCATTACATCTCGCGGGAGGATCGTTCAGCTCAACAAAATTGTTCCGCGGTGCAATTTGCAAGTGCGAGTTCGCGTTTTGAAGTCAATTTTAAAATAACAAACCCATGGAAGCTTAGATTTGAAGCTTTCGTGACCGCAGGGATCCATACTCTTTGTGGTTTTTTCGTTAAATTCATCACGTAGGTAATAAAATAAATCACGACGTTTCGATTGCAACGCAAGCAATCATCATCAGGTGGGAAAACCACAGCAAGAATGTTTTTTTTGGGACGCAAATTGAGCAATCATTGGAAGGATGTTATTAACCGGGTAAAACCCTAACTGCTTTATGGTTGTTGTCTATCATATCTGCCGGGTACTTGTCTACTTCCCCCCCCCCCGCATCCCCAGCTCTCTCGGCCTCCCACTTCCAGGCCTGCCCACTCCCCCCCACCAGCCTCACGTCCTTCTAGCGTCCACGCAGCGCCCCCCCCACCCCCTCTCTCTCTCCCCCCTTGCTCCTCCCCCTTTCTTACCTTTATAACCTCTTACCACGGCAGCTCTCTCTCTCCCACTTCAGCAAAAAAAAAATTCTTGCTGTGGTTTTCCCACCTGATGATGATCGCTTGCGTTGCAATAGAAACGTCGTGATTTATTTTATATTATTACCTACGTGATGACTTTACCGAAAGAACCAAAGAGTATAGACCTTAGTATCCTCCTACCTGGCTCCGCCCACCATTAATTGATGGCCCCACCCACCAATACATACTGTCCCCATCCACCACTATCTACTGTCACCACCCACCACGACCTACTTCCCCAACCCACCACAACCTGATGTCCTAAAACACCACTGAACTACAGTCCATTTAAAGGGAGAGTCCTTGCCTGTAACACCTGGCAGTCCAGAGTTTTGCTTGTATTTAAATCGATGCTGCTAAAATTATGCACTTCCAGCAACCTGTGTGGCTGATGGGTGGTGGAAGAAATCATTTTATAGCTTACAGTGAGGGAAAAAAGTATTTGATCCCCTGCTGATTTTGTACGTTTTGCCCACTGACAAAGAAATGATCAGTCTAGAATTTTAGTGGTAGGTTTATTTGAACAGTGAGAGACAGAATAACAACAACAAAATCCAGAAAAACGCATGTCAAAAATGTTATACATTGATTTGCATTTTAATGAGGGAAATAACTATTTGACCCCTCTGCAAAACATGACTTAGTACTTGGTGGCAAAACCCTTGTTGGCAATCGCAGAGGTCAGACGTTTCTTGTAGTTGGCCACCAGGTTTGCACACATCTCAGGAGGCATTTTGTCCCACTCCTCTTTGCAGATCTTCTCCAAGTCATTAAGGTTTCAAGGTTAACGTTTGGCAACTCGAACATTCAGCTCCCTCCACAGATTTTCTATAGGATTAAAGTCTGGAGACTGGCTAGGCCACTTCAGGACCTTAATGTGCTTCTTCTTGAGCCACTCCTTTGTTGCCTTGGCCATGTGTTTTGGGTCATTGTCATGCTGGAATACCCATCCACGACCCATTTTCAATGCCCTGGCTGAGGGAAGGAGGTTCTCACCCAAGATTTGACGGTACATGGCCCCGTCCATCGTCCCTTTGATGCGGTGAAGTTGTCCTGTCCCCTTAGCAGAAAAACACCCCCAAAGCATAATGTTTCCACCTCCATGTTTGACGGTGGGGATGGCGTTCTTGGGGTCATAGGCAGCATTCCTCTTCAAAACACGGCGAGTTGAGTTGATGCCAACGAGCTCCATTTTGGTCTAGTCTGACCACAACACTTTCACCCAGTTGTCCTCTGAATCATTCAGATGTTCATTGGCAAACTTCAGACGGGCATGTATATGTGCTTTCTTGAGCAGGGGGACCTTGCAGGCGCTGCAGGATTTCAGTCCTTAACGGCGTAGTGTGTTACCAATTGTTTTCTTGGTAACTATGGTCCTAGCTGCCTTGAGATCATTGACAAGATCCTCCCGTGTAGTTCTGGGCTGATTCCTCACCGTTCTCATGATCATTGCAAATCCATGAGGTGAGATATTGCATGAAGCCCCAGGCTGAGGGAGATTGACAGTTGTTTTGTGTTTCTTCCATTTGCGAATAATCGCACCAACTGTTGTCACCTTCTCACCAAGCTGCTTGCAATGGTCTTGTAGCCCATTCCAGCCTTGTGTAGGTCTACAATCTTGTCCCTGACATCCTTGGAGAACTCTTTGGTCTTGGCGATGGTGGAGAGTTTGGAATCTGATTGCTTCTGTGGAAAGGTGTCGTTTATACAGGTAACAAGCTGATATTAGGAGCACTCCCTTTAAGAGAGTGCTCCTAATCTCAGCTCGTTACCTGTATAAAAGACACCTGGGAGCCAGAAATCTTTCTGATTGAGAGGCGGTCAAATACTTATTTCCCTCATTAAAATGCAAATCAATTTATAACATTTTTGACATCCGTTATTCTGGATTTTTTTGTTATTCTGTCTCACTGTTCAAATAAACCTATCATTAAAATTATAGACTGATCATTTCTTTGTCAGTGGGCAAACGTACAAAATCAGCACGGGATCAAATACTTTTTTCCCTAACTGTATGTGAGGAGACATTTAGGTAATATGTTTTGTTCATGATGGATGTTTCGTTAGCACTCAATTATAAAAGAAAAAATATGTTTAAGTTAAGGTGAGGCGCTTGGTATTATTGCCTGAACAAAATTAAGTGTAAATATGGGACGGCATTCTGTGGGTTTTTTTTCTGTTCACGTTCCTAGCAGAAATCAAACAAGGCCATGTACTGACATGCCACATGGACTATTGTCTACACTTCTGAAGTGATGAGCCACGAGTTTGCACACGTCTGCCCGGCGAGTAACAGGAGATGCTGAGTTTACTATTGTAGTGTCAACGGAGCAGGAGACAGGATTCTTGAGCGCAGGCACCTTCTTTATTTAACACCTTCAGGTTCACAGGTTCGCCCTCGCTTCTCCCAAGTTGTAGAGCCTAGCCTAGACACAACCCTGACCGTGTTACACTGACGGCATCGACCGAGACAGCCAACAACTATCCGGCCCCGCAATTATCTAGCAAAGACGTCAGCGATGAAGGCGGCGAAGACGACAGCGAAGACGAGACGTGTCCACTTCCCAGAACCGGCAGCCACGAGCTGTCGCTTTCCGCTGCTTCTATCCTACTCTGCCCCGTCCTGGCTCCGCCCTGGCCGCGCCTGCCTTCTCGAGCCCAGTAGCGGGTTCCAGAGGCTTCCAGACAGGGTCTCTGTGACCCTTGCCCTAGTTCCTCCGCCCTGCTGACACAGCCGCGTAAGTGCCCACCGGCGTGTGTACTGCTCGTGTACCGCGTTTGCCATTGCTGGACAACAAACGGCGCTATTACACTACACTATCATAAGGCGTTTATCAGTTCTCGACGGTAATTCATGCTCATTTCACTCATTGTTTTCCTGCATAACTGAGAGCATATGCATTGTAAGAAATTGTAGATTGTAAAGTTTAGAACACTTATGGCAGGCTTATGTTAAGTGCACTGTGGTTGAGTGGAAATACAATTTTACGTAAAATACAATTTCACAGTTATGGGCAATTTGATATCGCGATAATCACATTGTAAAATGTAATGTGCGATCTGTTCTATAACGCTGCGTGTTTGCATAACGCGAATTGGATGCAATGCGATGGATGTATTGGGGAACACTTTTTTTTTTATAACGCCGATGCAAATTGGATATACTGCAATTGAGTGAACGGAACTACGTCACGCAAGTAGGAATAAGCGGTTCTCCAAGTGCCTCGGGGTAGCATTGCACAATGCGGGATGCTGCTGGATGCTTCTAGATACTACCCACCACACGCACCTCAGTCTTTGTTCGGCCTGCATTACGCATCTCACGCGTTATCACGGACTGTGCTTTACCCTAGATTATAAATAATTTATTACGACGCGATTTGCCACAACACGGTGTTCTTCAGGATCGCGACTACTACTGCCGCGTTATAGGAGAGAGCGAGAAATAATACTGGCTCTGACAATTTGTTCCTCTTTGCCCCCTCCCCCCCCCTCCCTTCCAGGTCTCTCTCCACAAGCAGCAGCTCCGGGCTTCCCGCTAATGCGGTGCCCCCCAATTCTCCAGCCAGCGAGCTCAGTGAGGTAAGACTGCATGCGTGGGGGGGGGGTGTGTCTGTTGTGCGTCACCATTTTCATGGTGGGAGATGACAAATTTCACGGGTTTCTCCCTATGACGGGTCTTGTCTTTTTTTTATATGAACTTGTGTAATCAATTTCAGCAGAATAATAAATTAAAGCACTAACAGGGGAGGCCCTTCCTAAGACTACTTCGCAAGGAGAATACGCCCCCAAGCCTACGCGCTTCCACAAACTGGACATCAAATTAACATTGTACGTGAAATGCAATCTATCTCTCTCAGGAACACTTCAAGGCCTTAACGTCAACGTACAGTAGACACCCGATTATCGGCATGCGGTTTATCTGATTTCCAGATTAACTATGCACCTGAGATTTTGACACAAGTTAATAACCCTAAAGCCCGAATTAATAATCCAAAAACAGTTATACATTGTTATTCTTGGGAATTTGTATTACAAGTCACGTGCTTAAACCGAACAATTTGTTGCTCCAGTTAATCCGAAATCCACGTGATCTCCCCCAATGGTAAAGTAGTTGCATATCTTTACAGCAGTGGGGCGGAGTTTGATTGATTTTTATTGGCGTGGCTCTGCTATCCACTTCATGGGCCGAGTCTTCAGCTGGGCGGGAGCAGGAAAGTGTTAGTATCACTGAGCACGTGCATCGATTGGTCAATCGTTAGTTTTTTGCATATACATCTGCGGAAAATGCGTAGTTTAGGATTGTCCGCGAATTTTAATTATCCGCAACCTGTCCTCCCTGTCATTAGCATAGATAATCGACAGCGGACTGTATTGGCACAGCATGAATTACACTTAAAAAAACTGACCAGGCGCACAATATCACATTCGTCGTTTCAGATTCATCACCGTTATGCATCGCCCTAAGCATGGCATGTTCACCATCAGGAAAAACATCACAGACTTCTGCTTGTTCCACGGAGCTTTAAGTTCGTTGTCTCCGATTAGCATGGTTGGCTACGTATGGTGCAAAAGAAGTTCAACATACATTACAGTATAATTCTCGATTATCTGCGCTAATTATGGGGAGGATTGCCGTGGATAATTCAAAATCGCGGCAAAAGAAGACCAACATACATTACAGTAGAATTCACGATTATCCGCGCTAATGATGTGGATGACGGCCGTGGATAATTCAAAATCGCGAACAATCCAATGATATCCATCTTCTGTCTCTCTCTCTATACCAAAGACCACTAATGTAGGTATAAATTATGTTTAGTTTTGTTAATGAACAAAACATTGTAATAAGTATGGACATTTGATATTGTGCATTCTTATGAGTCCAGTCCATCATGAATGTGCATTGATCACACGTTGAAGTAGGCTCTCTGAAACAACAACAAACAACAACAACAACAGCAACACTGTTTGGAGTATGTTGCGGAACTGGCTCAGACTCGGGGATGGATGTCGACCATGAGTTTGTAGCTTGTTCCAGGTCTTTAGACCGGAGACGCCGAAACTGTGCTGGCCGTATCGCACGAGGTTTACACACGGGCCGTAGTCCGAGTCAATTTGGGTCTGTCGAAGCTGGTACACACTGATCGGCGAGATAGGATGGAGCAGATAAATGGAGAACGTATTGATCTTGTTTAATAACAAAAGTCCACGCGAAAGCATGCACTCACTCAATGTTAAAACAGCACGACGCTTCCGTTTCTTTTGGCACCGCGCAGTTTCATAAGTTAAAGCTCACAAACTAAATGATTGGTTAAGTCACTCAAAATGAAGCACAACTGACGATTTTGATTGTTACTCTCTAGATTTAGAACGAATACTAATTATCGACGACCGATCAATGATGCACATGCTCAATGATAACACTTTATTGTTCCCGCCCAGCAGAAGACTCGGCCCACTAAGTGGATGATAGCAGAGCCACGCCAATCAACATCATTCAAAGTCTACCCCACTGTTGTAAAGGGTTGCAACTAATGTACTGTAGAGGAGCCAATCACGTGGATTTCGGATTAATCGGAGCAACATATTTCTTCGGTTTAAGCACGTAACTTGTAGTAAACATTTCTAAGAATAAAAATATATAACTGTTTATAGATTATTAATTTGGGCTTAAGGGAAATTCCATGAGTTATTGATTTACGTCCAAATCTCAGGTGCGTGGTTAATCTGCAAATTGGATAAACCACACGCAGATCATCGAGAGTCCACTATATTTGGCTGCTATACACTTCCACGTTGAGCTATCATTTGTGGCTAGGTCGCTTCTGAAAAATAACTATATACAGTAGCTCAGTGGACCTTACCTGGTATAGTATAGGACGAAAAAAAAGTGAACACCTGGTGCAAATTTTTTAACATCACCGCTAAGGGACACGAAGGCTGCCTTGAACATGGTGCCGTTCACGCCATGGCCAACGTGTGCTGTGCAGACCATTTTAGGTGCTCACTTAACAGTACTTTCCTTGGTCACAGGCATATCTATCCCTAAGTAATCTTTAAAAATAAAACAATGATTACGAAGCTCGCATTAAATAAAAACACTCCGAGGTGTAATAATATGTGCCTTTAATCCGCAAAAAAGAATAATAGAGGTTTTTTTTTTTGGATTAGATCGTGTAAATATAAATGTGTCGTTAAACCCGCCACCACCCGACACAGCCAATTAGCAAGGTTTGTCACGTAAACAAAACGGGACCAATTCGTTATTAGTACAGCACACCGGTGTGTTGGAGAGTAAACCCACAATATTTACAATTCGAGTATGACGTTTCTATTATGGATAATTTTGATCGCGAAAGCCTTCTTGTTAGACTGACTACAGGTAGTCCCCGAGTTACGATGGTCCGACTTACGATATTTCGATCTTACGATGGCGATAGCGATACGACAAAATTGTAAAATATTTTAAATGTAGCCATCAACAACCTAACATCGTTCAAGTATGCAGACGACGGACGGAATCTTGGCGAGTACAGCACAATATGATACGTTACGATATGTTCAATGCATGTATGATACGTAGCTTTAGCGATTTCATTTTAGGGTTACTACGGTACGATACGTTCAATGCATGTTAAAAGTTTTTATAGCAGATAGGATTGTTTCCTCAAAAAACTTTCTATTAAATTGCAGTTCACATAGGTAGGCTAAGAATTTACCTTGTTTTTTTGCTTTACATTTTACTGTTCAATACAGTATTGTAATTAATAAATACATACAGTATATAGTTTCTACAGTACAGTACTGTAAATTGCTCTGTTTTGCTAAATTATCACCATTCTTTAAGACTCCTGGGTAGGCTAGGGCATCTTCGACTTACAATATTTTCGACTTACGATGGGGTCGTCGTAACGCATCTTCATCGTAATTAGAGGACTACCTGTAATCTCTTTGGGGAGGACAATTTAGTCTGTGAGGCCACATAATCAGAATGAGTTAAACAGCGAGCTTAGTGTCTCTTGCTCGGTTCCTACCCCCGCCCCCCCCCCCCCTTTGTCCATATCTGAATCACACAAATCAATACACAGATGGCCCTACTTGCAGTGCACAGATTTATTTAACGGGCACCACGGTGGTGAGATGTTTTCTTCCTGGCCTGGTATGGAGGTGGTGGGTTTCATAGCGACCCTAACTCCTATTGTATATTTACAGTTTGTGGGGTCTCTCCCTGTCATCGCGTGGATTTTTTCTCCGCATCCTCCGGTTTTTCCTTCCACATTTAGAAATATGCATTGAAATTATTTCGATTATTTTGCTGCTATAAATTTCCAGATGATACGCCACTTTATTGAGTTATCATTTGTGGCCAGGTCACTTCTGAAAAACAAGTTAATACCTCAGTGGGCTTTGCCGGGTAGGATGGGGATGGTTTAGTTTTATTTGTTTGCATCATTTGTTTACCTTTCCTGTACTTTGCACTAATGTCGTGTTTAGTATTGTCCATAGAGGTTTTTTTAGGGGGTTAGATCGTGTAAATATATGAATGTGTCATTAAAGCCGCCACCACCCGACACAGCCAACTAGTAAGGGTTGTCACATTTATATATTTTTGTATTGTGTTTATTGTTGTAACCTTCTGGACATTTGTGAAAAAATGTATAACTCAATGGATTCCTCCAGTATATATAAATATTCTGATTCTGATGACTGATTCGATCTGTCTTACCCTACCCCCGCCCCCTCCCCCTTTTAATCTCTATCTTCGTGTCCAAGCCCCGACAGGCTATTTTACGGACCTATGAGTCGAGAGGCCACCTCGGTATGGCGCCCGAGGCTCCGGGAGGTCCCATGGCCGCGGGGTCGTCCCAAGGTTCTGCTTACACCGGCTCCATGGGAGGAGGTCACGAGGTGGAGTGCGGGGCCAGTGCAGGTGCAGCCAACCCCAACAAACACAGACCCCCTCCACTCATTACACACCAAAGACAAAGATCCCCTGTATAGCCTGTAACTGTTGAGGCAAATGCTGTTAGTGAGTAGCACCTATGAAGGCCAGCACTGTGGCAGACGAGGGGGCGAGTGGCCAGCACCAAGCTGGGCCGCCTTTGTTTCCCAAGTGGCGATGTTTACACACCACTCAAGGTACTCATTTGAAGCTCTGTCAACCTAGGGGGAGGCCCAGGACCGGTTCAGATAATCGCCACTGGTGGTGACCATGAGCAGGAATCGAACTCTGGTCGCCGGGTTCGTAGCGCAGTGCAATAACCGCTACACTACTGCTCCTCAAACACACACACATAATCAATGTATCTAAACCCACACTTCCTCAATGCCCACACACACACACACCTCCGAACCCACAATACCTTCTCACAACTGCATACAAAGACCCCCCCCCCCCATCTCCCTGTATAGCCTTCGATTTGGTTATGCTCTTGATGAAATTACTTTGTGTGATGATCGATTGTCTTAATTATGTACAGTTACAGTTTTTTATAGCACAATTAGAGTCGATTGATACTCATATCATTGGAGATTATATCGATTATTTTACCAATATAGGTTCTCATTCACACTCTGGTAGATTATATCCATCCACACCTCTAGATTCTCTCGATTGTCACCCCTTTAGATTGTGTATATTTTATGGTAGAGTCACATCCTGTATATAATTCTAATCTCTATAACGTTTCATGTATTTGTCCATTTGCAGTGGAATTATACAAAGTATCAGGCTGTATCCGAGGTGTGCTTTCTGTGTGGTCCGTCAGCAGGCAAGGCTACATTGGCTGGGTCATGTAGCCTGAATGCCCAGCCACCGAATGCTCAGTCACCTCCAGAGAGAGGGGGATAAATGGGCCTGGCATGAGCTAGAGGAGAGATGGAGTGATGTGGTACAAGAGGATGTGGAGCTGAGTGGACTTACCGATAACTGGTACCAGCGGTGTCTAGATCGGCCTCTGTGGAGGAGGCTCGTGAAGGACGCTAATGGGCTGTTGGAGACAACAACGAGCGGAGCGCCGGGTGGCTAATACACAGCAAGTTGGCACAGTAGGGGGCACAGGTCGTGCATCAGCCAGTCATCTCAGTCAGTCGACCCATGGCACCTGGGTCTGTCCCGTTACCTTCTGCCAGTGGGCATTCGACACTTCATGTGGCCTGAACGTGCGCATAGCCTGACACAAGCGCCATGGTGACGTCAACGCCACTTTGTGGCGAATGGCGAGTATTGGTGTGTGAGGATTGGTAGTGTCGCGGTTAGTCCGCTGAGCTATGAACCCGGTGACCCGAGTTCGAGTCTGCTCACGGCCAACACCAGTTACGATCATTTTAACCGGTCCTGGGCCTCCCCTAGGTCGACTCAGCCTAAAATTAGTATCTGGTGCGGTGTGTAAACATCGCCACTAGGGAGAAAAAGGCGGTCGTGCGTGGTGCTGGCCACCCACCCCCTCGTGTACCATTCCGGCCTTCATAGGTGCTCGCCAACAGCCTGTTCAGGCTATACGAGTGAGCTTTGTCTTTGTGAGTTTGTGGTGCTTTGTCTCTCTCTGCCCCCCCCCCCCCCCCCCTTGTGTAGGAGTCTCGCAGTGCGCCGTCTCCTCCCTTTGCAGTGACTCAGTCTGGCTGGCGTGTGACTGGGAACAACGCCACCGCGAAATGGCAGCGCGGTGTTCTCCGCGGTTACCCAGGGCACCCCCGCTGCTTTCCACGCTGCAGTACTGCGTGTGATGTCATTCCACCGCCGTGACGGTCGCTTTGGTGACGGTGGTGGGCGGTGGTGATGATGGAAATAAATGATGCACCGTCGACAAAAATACAAATCAGTTTAACACACAGGCTTTCGCGACCAATATTATCCATGAGAGGTTTTTTGGTTGGATCGCATAAATATAAATGCTGTGTCATTGAACCCTCCACCACCCGACACAGCCAATTAGTAAGGATTTGTCACGTACACAAAACGTGCCAATGTATTACTAGTTTAGCACACCGGTGTGTTGGAGAGTAAACCCACTGCATTTACAATTTAACAACGCATTTATGTTTCCGCGATATAACCCAACAACCAATTGTATGGCTAAAATAAAAAATATTGTAAACGTGAAATTCACCTTGCACGGAAAATAAATCTCATTGTACAATAGGGGGGGCACCTGGGTAAATAAATACGGCGGATGCTTTGTGTTTACATTTGCCTCACAAGGAGTATGGAAGAGTAGTCCGAGACTAACCCAAGAGCACAGTTTTTTTCTTTAGAGCTCCCCTGTAGTGGGGGTTCTTTCGCCAGCGGTGGCCATGAGCAAGCGATTGCAGGGGCTCTACTCAAAACCGAGGCGATGTAAGTCGCCCAAGTGCGTTTGCGCCGTTGCGCGAGGGGAAGTGAAATCGAGTTTGGATCGGGCGCGGTGACTGCTCTTGCGGGGCATGCTCGGCGTCGCGTTGCTGCAAAGTTTGCTTATTTTTTTTATTATGCTACAGAACAAAAACTAATTTATTGTTTTACTCACAATTTGGCACGTCGCGTCACGAGTGTTGTGTGTAAAAAAAAAAAAATCACTTGTGCAAACTCACGGTCACGCGTGCATATTTTGGTTGAGCTGCACGTGCATGTCTATTGCTACGTTCGTTGTTGTGCTTAAGATATTTATTCACGTGTGACGTGGATGTCTTTTTGTTGATCGGTTAATTTAAAAGAAGCCTATTGGAAATGTACCGGTGATTTAAATGCATCAATAAAATGGGCCAATTGATGACATCAAATTTGACCTTCGACTGCAAGCAACGAAACCATTCACCTGGAGACAATGATGCACTTCCAATTTTTGTGTCAGTTTATTTTGAAGTACTCTGTGAGCTAAGTAGCTCTTGAATCGGGATTCATAAACAAAAGCATCGGTTCCCTGGCAAACATAACGTGCATAACAGGTCGCAATAAATAAATAAATAGTGAAGAGACAAAAACGGCAACAAATCACACAATGTCGAGTACAGCAGCAAGGTCTCAGAGGACGCGGCAGGGGTTGGGTTCCGTATACCCCCCGCGTAAGCGCGAATTCGTGTAAGTTGGGGTTCGCCTATGAGTGTATATACATATAAACTACTATATACTTCTATATACTTCTATATCACTATATACTACTACATCACTATATAGTACTATATTACTGTATATTATTCTTACATTATACTACTATATGCTATTTTACACTATAGACTACTATGTACTTCTGTATACCACTATATTACCATATAGAGTCTAAATACAATATCAAATCCATCGTTCTCGTGATGGCGAGGGGTGGCCCGACTCCTCGCTTCCAGCCCCGTTCGTGGAGCGAAAGTACGAGTCGCACAAAATGTCAGTATGAATCGGGGGGGGGGGAGGGTCAGTCGGTCGTGTATGAGCGGGGTCCGCGTACTCTGAGACCTTGCTGTATAGTATAAAGTTATCTTTTAAAATTGTAACTAAAGTGATGGTTATAATTAAATTACATATTGCAAATAAGGCATAAAAACGCAAATGGTAAGGAAGTTTAACTGAAAAACGTCGAATGTCAATATACAGTAATAATCTTGATTTGAGGCTTTCGTGACTGCAGGAATCCATACTCTTTGGTTCTTTCGGTAAAGTCACGTGGGTATAAATAAATTAAAATTTAAACAAATCACGACGTTTCGATTGCAACACAAGCAATTATCATCAGGTGAGAAAACCACAGCAAGACCATTTTTTTGCTGTGATTTTCCCACCTGATGATGATTGTGTTGCAATCGAAACGTCGTGATTTGTTTCATTTGAATGTATTTCTAACTACGTGACTTTACCGAAAGAACCAAAGCATACAGTAATAATTACAACCATCACGATATTGAACTGAGTAAAATAATGAAGCGTCTATAACATAATAAAATATAGTGCGATAAGGCATACAGGCAAATCATGTTCACACATCTAATTGTTTATGCAGTGGCAGCTTGGCAGGAATTAATTTGAAAGGAGTGATTCAAGGTGATTGAGTGATGGTAGTGACTGTAAATCAAGTCTTGTGGCAATACTATTCTAGAGACTCGGGACATGATCATATGATCATTGTAAACCATGCACCATTCCAAATTGTCACCACCTGGCATGATCTTGCAATGCTACAATTAATCTGGCTCGTGCACTTGGGTCGATTTTAACTAAGCTATTTTACCAGGTGGAACAACCACAGCAATAAACAATCGCTTCAGCAATTGTTTATTGCTGTGGTTGTTCCACCTGATGATGGGCAATTGTGTTGCGCCCGAAACGTCGTTATTTATTTTATATTTTATACCTACGTGACTTTACCGAAAGAACCAAAGATTATGGATCCCTACAGTCATGAAAACTTCAAATCTAGAATATTTGACCAGGTAGAGCCCACTGAGCTATGTAGCTCTTTTCAGAAGCGACCTGCTCATACATGATAGCTCAAATAAGTGTCTTATTATCACGTGGAAATTTAAAGCCACAGCAAAATACTCTTAACGCGTGTTTCTTAATGTGGAGAGGAAAAACTGGAGGACCCAGAGAAAAATCCACGCAACCACGGGGAAAGAGACAGGAAAACTCCAAATATACAAGCAGGCGTCACAGTCGGGATCGAACCAACGACCTTCTTGCATACCAGGCGAGGTAGTTAACTCCTTGCCACCGCAAGTACGCATTTCATTGCTCGATACACAGGGTGCACACACCCTTACGTGAATTACTTTGGTGACAACTCTTTCCGTAGCCTTGATCACTGAACGTTGTTTTGTCCTCCATTGGTAAATACGTACCTTGTCCGTGATATATTTGTTTCTTGTGTGGCACATTAGGAATGGAGCACTCTTTAAATAAGTTCTTATGTGTTGTGCAGTACATCAATGCACGTGTGTACAGCAGCATGCGATGACTGAGTTGGGCCTGTGGGGGGGCTGGCAGGGTTAATGGTTAACCGAACGTGTACACCAGTCACGTGGTTAATGGCGACTCGGTGAAGATTTGCTGTGACACACGTGCTGTTGCATTCTACAGATTAACCACAATAAATGTGTTTGCCCTCGATTTGGAGCACCTGCCCAACGTCCTTCATTTCGAGTGTGCAACACTTGGATCAGATCGCATGAATATGAATGTGTCGTTAAACCCGCCACCACCAGACTCGCAGCCAATTGATAAGGGGTTGTCACGTGAAACATGCCACATCGTTACTAGCTCAGCACAACGGAATATTTCAGAGTAAACCCACGACAGCATTTACAATTCGGGTACCGTGACGTTTCGCCGGTAATTAATTACAACAAGCCACATCAGGCGACAGCCCAGAGTTGGGAAATCCTCCTGTTTCGGTCTTAAACATAAATCCGTTACTCGTAACGTTACTCGGAACGGATTGGCACGTTTTGTTTACGTGACAAACCTTACTAATTTGCAGTGTTTCGGGTGGTGCCGGGTTTAACGATACATTTGCACGATTTAATAAATAAAAAAAACGTATGGATAATATGGGTCTCGAAAGCCTATATCGGGGAGGCTGACCCCCGTCTCCTCGCTCAGGTGGGATCCACTACTCCCCTCTTCCGTGTCCTGGGGAGGGTTACTGCTCACAGACCCCCCCATCCTTCGCTGCAGCCCCTCGGGGCATGATTCGTGGCTGGCGCTTAGCCACCTGCGATCAATTCACACAATCTCCGCGCACACTCACTCACACACACTCGCTCGAAATCCGACGTCGCTCCTCTCCCGTGCCACGCACCAATCGCGTGCGCGGGACTCGGGGTCAGAGGGCAGGGACGTAACTCACACACGCGCAGCCGATTGGGGGGTTGTCTCGGAGTTTTATTTAAAGGTCTTTATGAACAAACTCACAGGTACACCGCCCGTTCTCCCCACGCACACGCTAAACAAAAGGCCGCACGAATAATCTCGCGTGTACGCCGCCCGTTAGCCTCACGCACACGTTAAACGAAAGGGGGTATGAGTAATCTCACGAGTCCGCCTCCGCTCACCACACGCACACGCCAACCACGAGCTACACGCATGGGCGAGCAAACACGTGGGTAAATACACCCTCACGCACAAACACCAACATGCATCCGTTCCATCCTCGCAGAAACCACATGACAAGGTATATTGATCCCCAGCAGTTTATTCTCAGCGAGTCCGAGGTTAAATTACCCGAGTCAGTTTGAGTCAGCAGGGCAGGTCTAACTTATCTCCCGATGGTCTAAGACCCGATGTGTAACGCCTCTTTCAAATCACTCTCCTAAGACAATCTCACAATGGCCTCAATATCTCACTCTCGGGTATTCACGGTTCGACTCGTACGGAGCTGCTGGGTCGGATCCTCGCTGCACTTCGACTCGTCACACGGACGTTCGAGTGGCTGGGAAGTCGACTGCCCTGAGCGCTGGCTTGAGTAGAACAGGAACCGACTCTCCCTACCTTCTCTACCCTTTTTATTGTACTCTACATCAAAGATAAGTCGGTGCTGATCCGCTGGCCTCCCGTCCAATCAGGTGGCTCGGATTTCCCGCCACTCTCCCCGGGCCGGTGCTCTCTCAGACGTCCGCTTTTCACCCTCTAAACAAGCGCATCTGTCCTACCAATCAGAGGACCGGCCCTGTTTTTCCCGCCGTTCGTGACTCCGTACCCCCCCCTACCTGCCTGCTGACCCGTGTGTGTTGTGGGTGTTTTCTATCCGCGGTGGCTCAGCAGCCCCATCGTGACCACGTGATTACAACCCAAGTCACGGTGCCGTGGTGCGAGTTAGCCTTGGGGGAGGTCGCCCAATTCCCTGGTCGCAGGAAACCGTGAAGCTTGGTCCCATGAGAGGGCTTCTGGGTGAAAACCTGTCGGCCAGGTGACCTCCCCTCGGGGCTCCATGTGGGGGTGTGTGTGTGTGTTCATGTGAAGGGGGGGG